TGAATTGATGATTCAATCACAAAAGTGAGTTTGACGATTTTCCCTTGGAAAATCCCTTGTTTACAGAACTCGATTCGACTTCTACGGCAATTCTGTGTTGAATGCAGTACTTTGGGATATCTTGCATTATTCCCTACTGCATCGTACACAACATCGATATTCCACTTGTACAGGATCTCTTCCTGTTTGTGTGGATATAGATTGTCCGACAGACTCGCGTCCGGCATACTTGCGTCAAATCACGACATCTTGCACGATCAAATTCCGATCGCACGTGTCGAAAACCTTGTACTTGAATAGTTTCGTTTGGAACGTAAAAACTCATATTTCGTCATATCGCAACACCATGATGCGGTTGGCCATTACGTGGAATGCACTTTGGTTGATGTTTGACACGCTGGCAACATCCACACACCGAGTACGAACCGGCTTTGGAGATTCCGAAGCAAGCTTCCGACCACCGTCCATGATTCCTTTCCAAGGGTGCGGACAAGGCAACGGGGCTGGTCCCCCCATCTGGGTCTCGGTCAGCTCTATTATTATTCAAATGATGGTGGCAATGGGTTTTGGCTTTGAGTGTCTTACGACGATCAACTCCCACTTGGTCACAGCTCAGTGCTTCTGTTTTGTGGACGACACGGACGTTATTGAGGCGGGGGCGTCGGTCAATCACTCTGGCGAGGACATCTGCCAATCGGTCCAGTCGGCTGCGTCCATGTGGGCTGGAGGAATTAGTGCTACGGGCGGAGCGATCAATCCGGAGAAGTCCTTTTGGTGGTTGATCGACTTTGCTTGGGATGGCAGGAAGGGACAATGGACATTCAGGAGGAAGAATCAGTTGTTGCCGGACCACCGGCTACAGATTTCGGGCTTGTCTGGCAAGTTGGAATCTCTTTGTCGCCTTGAGCCGGGGGAGGCAGAAAAGACATTGGGAGTAATGCTCGCGCCACTCGAGGACCAGAAGGCTCATGTCACACATCTGAAGGGTATTGCCAAAAGGTGGGCTGAACAAGTTCGGTCTGGTCACCTTCACAAATACGATGTGATCCCCTTGATCAAGTCCACTGTTATGAAGTCACTAGAATATCCAATGACGCTATTGACACTGGAGGCCGCAACATGGGTGGATATTATGAGCCCGGTTCTACAGGTCTGCCTGCCGAAAGCCGGCATCTGCAGAAGTTTTCCGCCTGATATGGTGTTGGCTCCATTGAAGTTCCAAGGCCTGGGCATCCCACATCCGTTCGGCTCACAGGTTTCCAAGCATATCGAAACTCTCCTCCGTCATTCGACCAACAAGACAAAAACCGGAGCCTACCTGGAAGCCGCTTTGCAAGAACACCAGCTCGAAACGGGCACTTCGTTCGGTATCTTTCAGCAGGATTATTGCAACACTGCCGTCTTGGCTTCCGATACATGGATAAAGCGAGTCTGGAAAGAACTGGAGAACATGGACATCTATGTGGCCTTTAATTCTCCGGCCTTACCACTATAATGTGTCGGTGATGCTCTGCTTGTGGAAGTGTTCATGGATTTGGAGGTGAACCAAGACGATCTGAAATGGCTCAATTGGTGTCGTATGTTCCTTCAAGCGTGCACCGTTTCCGACATTGTCACCGCTGATGGACGATGCATCCGCCAGTTGGCTTGGTGCGGAAAGCGTGATGGAATTCACCGGTCCCCATATCAATGGCCCCGGACAGTTTGACCAAACCGGAATCACTGGCGTCTATGGCAGGACACCTTGACCCGGGCACTCCTGCAGTCGGATGATCCCTCTCACCATCTCCGCCAACCATTGGGCCCTTGGTTTGACTCTATTGACGACTGGAATTGGCTGTTTTCCCCAACGCATGGCGTCTTTCATCGTCACGGACACGCTTGGAGACACTACGGTCACCGTTCAGGTTCCTACTCCTCTAGCCGGCGGTTCCACATGAGGCCGGCATCTCACAGGACGTCTGGGGTTAAAAGACCGATGGCAACCCTTGACGTCGCCGAAGCCCTCTCACCGTCGGTTCCTTTTTGGACCCAGCCACTCCCAGATGATGTATGCCGAGTGACAACTCAGCCACTGCAGGGGTTAGAGGAGATTGTGATCTCAGGGGTGGGCCTGGAGCATCAGTCTCCGCGACCAGTTCCCCAACCGTCCTTATTCACTGCATGGGAAGCAGCATCAGCAGAAGTTGACGAATACTTTGGATGGACCCCGAGGAACTTATATATATATAACTGAATCATTAATTGGTTTTTATGCTACTTCTAGAGTATCCAACTGCCGGTGTAATACGGCTGTAGAGGCCAGGAACTATGCTGCTTTTAGTCAGATAAGTTTGAACCACGTTGAGGCATTTTTCAAGAAAAAAGTTGCTCTAGTCAATCATGTCAGGGTACAGATTGGCGCTCCTGTTAGAATAAAGCAAAATGTGCTCTATCGTGAGTGCCTTTAGCGCTCAGAACAAACTCTCTGCAATCTAAATTCGTAATCGACTGTACAACACTTTCACGACAATAGTTCTCCTGTGTCTAGGTATACTTTGAGTGAAATTGTTCCTATTTGATTAATGTTTGGCTTGAATTGATGATTCAATCACAAAAGTGAGTTCAACAATTTTCCCTTGGAAAATCCCTTGTTTACAGAACTCGATTTGACTTCTACGAGGATTCTGTGTTGAATACAGTACTTTGGTACATCTTGTATTATTCCCTACTGCATCGTACACAGCATCGATATTCCACTTGTATAGGGTCTTTCCCTTTTTGTGTGGATACAGATTGTCCGACAGACTTGCTTGGAATTGCTGACATCACGATTAAAATCCGATCGTGCGTGTCAAAACTTTGTACTTGATTAGTTTTTATTGGAACGTAAAAACTGATATTTTGTCATATCCCAACACAAGGATTCAAAGCAGGAAACACCAGCTGGTAACGATTTACTGGAAGCTGGTGGTAAAGGGAAGTTACTCAGTGCTGAGTACCGTCAGATCTTTCATACTACTGTTGCAAGGGGACTTTATGTCTCTAAGAGAGCTCATTTGATATCCATCCAACGATTACTATTCTTGCCTCGAGAGTTCGAGAACCTACAGAGTCTGATTGGAAGAAGTGTGTTCAAATGATGCGATATTTGTTTTGTACATTGTTGTATCACCTGACACTTTCCGCTGAATCACTACAAGTCATGAAATGGATGATAGACGCATCTTTTGCAGTGCATCCAGATTTCAAGAGCCATACTGGTGGCACTCTATCCTTTGGAGGAGGAGGTGCAGCTCAAGTTGCTGCTAGCATATATATATATATATATATATATATATATACCTGAATCATTAATTGGTTTTTATGCTACTTCTAGAGTATCCAACTGCCGGTGTAATACGGCTGTAGAGGCCAGGAACTATGCTGCTTTTAGTCAGATAAGTTTGAACCACGTTGAGGCATTTTTCAAGAAAAAAGTTGCTCTAGTCAATCATGTCAGGGTACAGATTGGCGCTCCTGTTAGAATAAAGCAAAATGTGCTCTATCGTGAGTGCCTTTAGCGCTCAGAACAAACTCTCTGCAATCTAAATTCGTAATCGACTGTACAACACTTTCACGACAATAGTTCTCCTGTGTCTAGGTATACTTTGAGTGAAATTGTTCCTATTTGATTAATGTTTGGCTTGAATTGATGATTCAATCACAAAAGTGAGTTCAACAATTTTCCCTTGGAAAATCCCTTGTTTACAGAACTCGATTTGACTTCTACGAGGATTCTGTGTTGAATACAGTACTTTGGTACATCTTGTATTATTCCCTACTGCATCGTACACAGCATCGATATTCCACTTGTATAGGGTCTTTCCCTTTTTGTGTGGATACAGATTGTCCGACAGACTTGCTTGGAATTGCTGACATCACGATTAAAATCCGATCGTGCGTGTCAAAACTTTGTACTTGATTAGTTTTTATTGGAACGTAAAAACTGATATTTTGTCATATCCCAACACAAGGATTCAAAGCAGGAAACACCAGCTGGTAACGATTTACTGGAAGCTGGTGGTAAAGGGAAGTTACTCAGTGCTGAGTACCGTCAGATCTTTCATACTACTGTTGCAAGGGGACTTTATGTCTCTAAGAGAGCTCATTTGATATCCATCCAACGATTACTATTCTTGCCTCGAGAGTTCGAGAACCTACAGAGTCTGATTGGAAGAAGTGTGTTCAAATGATGCGATATTTGTTTTGTACATTGTTGTATCACCTGACACTTTCCGCTGAATCACTACAAGTCATGAAATGGATGATAGACGCATCTTTTGCAGTGCATCCAGATTTCAAGAGCCATACTGGTGGCACTCTATCCTTTGGAGGAGGAGGTGCAGCTCAAGTTGCTGCTAGCATATATATATATATATATATATATATATATACCTGAATCATTAATTGGTTTTTATGCTACTTCTAGAGTATCCAACTGCCGGTGTAATACGGCTGTAGAGGCCAGGAACTATGCTGCTTTTAGTCAGATAAGTTTGAACCACGTTGAGGCATTTTTCAAGAAAAAAGTTGCTCTAGTCAATCATGTCAGGGTACAGATTGGCGCTCCTGTTAGAATAAAGCAAAATGTGCTCTATCGTGAGTGCCTTTAGCGCTCAGAACAAACTCTCTGCAATCTAAATTCGTAATCGACTGTACAACACTTTCACGACAATAGTTCTCCTGTGTCTAGGTATACTTTGAGTGAAATTGTTCCTATTTGATTAATGTTTGGCTTGAATTGATGATTCAATCACAAAAGTGAGTTCAACAATTTTCCCTTGGAAAATCCCTTGTTTACAGAACTCGATTTGACTTCTACGAGGATTCTGTGTTGAATACAGTACTTTGGTACATCTTGTATTATTCCCTACTGCATCGTACACAGCATCGATATTCCACTTGTATAGGGTCTTTCCCTTTTTGTGTGGATACAGATTGTCCGACAGACTTGCTTGGAATTGCTGACATCACGATTAAAATCCGATCGTGCGTGTCAAAACTTTGTACTTGATTAGTTTTTATTGGAACGTAAAAACTGATATTTTGTCATATCCCAACACAAGGATTCAAAGCAGGAAACACCAGCTGGTAACGATTTACTGGAAGCTGGTGGTAAAGGGAAGTTACTCAGTGCTGAGTACCGTCAGATCTTTCATACTACTGTTGCAAGGGGACTTTATGTCTCTAAGAGAGCTCATTTGATATCCATCCAACGATTACTATTCTTGCCTCGAGAGTTCGAGAACCTACAGAGTCTGATTGGAAGAAGTGTGTTCAAATGATGCGATATTTGTTTTGTACATTGTTGTATCACCTGACACTTTCCGCTGAATCACTACAAGTCATGAAATGGATGATAGACGCATCTTTTGCAGTGCATCCAGATTTCAAGAGCCATACTGGTGGCACTCTATCCTTTGGAGGAGGAGGTGCAGCTCAAGTTGCTGCTAGCATATATATATATATATATATATATATATATACCTGAATCATTAATTGGTTTTTATGCTACTTCTAGAGTATCCAACTGCCGGTGTAATACGGCTGTAGAGGCCAGGAACTATGCTGCTTTTAGTCAGATAAGTTTGAACCACGTTGAGGCATTTTTCAAGAAAAAGTTGCTCTAGTCGATCATGTCAGGGGACAAATCGGCGCTCCCACTGTTGGTGGGGAAGTACAAACAAGATGCAAGGATTTCTCCTGGGATACAGAGGAATTTTGTGGGTACCTTTTCCAAGGAAAGAATTGGGTGCAATTCTCTCAAGTCATCTGTCAATGGGCAGATTGGCGCTCCCACTCTGTTGGTGGGGATTTGGAAGGGTAGACCAAGAAAATTGGTCTGCTGTATCTTTTCCAGAAAAAGAAACAAGACAAATATGCTGTACAACATGGAGAATTTGTGTTCACAGGGGTTGTCCTTCACAAGGTCAACCGTCAATAGGGTGGTAGAATTCGTGCGGGTTGTTGCTTCCAGACCTTCCTGAGCGTGCTCAGGTGCAGTCCTTGTCGATTTCAAAGCCATCTCTTGTGATTTTTTGTCATTCGAGCCCATGGTTAATGGCCACTTCTGATGGGCAGCGCAGACGTCATGAAATAGGATTGTTGTTGTGTGTAAATAGCAAAGGAGTTCGGTCTGGTTCCAACCTTGTTTTGGTGGAAACTTGGACTGAGCTTTGGCTATTTGTAGCTCTCGTTTTGTCGCTCAAATTCCTCCACAATGTGAGGAATGATAGCAGGATTAGCGAAGAATTCGGATGCCGTTCGCCACATCCAAGTCAACGGCTCGGCGCGTTGAACAATTAATGTTGGGTCGAACACGAGCGAAAATTCCCAAAAGCAAGGCGACTTTTTGTCAGTAGTGATAACGCGTTGGGCCGTTGCGAGAGCAAACATCTCCTGTCTCCAAGCCTTCTTGTAGAGCCTGTGAAACTTTGACACCTTGAGTTTTGTGATGTAGGCAACAAGCGATCG